TTTGAAAGGCTTAACCTTACATTACACATAACAGACTTTTGAAAGGCTTAACCTTACATTACACATAACAAAGACTTTTGAAAGGGTTAACTTTACATTGCATGGAATAAACATTTCTGAAAGGGTTAACTTTACAATACACATAACAAAGGTTTCACTAGAATTTTAATAGCTCTTACATAAGTTAAGTTGTTTCTTATTGTAGAATTAATTTTACAGTTATCTTATATCAATTTTAAACTTCCAGTCTGAAAAATATTAGTACTGTCTTACAGGTAATGATATAACACACAAAAAGTTTATAAATTTTATAGAATTTTATCCATATGAGCGTATGGATTTATTATTAAATAACTTTAAGTGTACTGGTAAAAAACATACAATTATTTAAACAAGTTTATTGCCAATAATTCAAGAAAATCTTCTGACATTTTTTTTAAGGTATTTCTGAAATCAAAGTATCTTCAAATTTTATGCTAATTCAAATGATAAGTAACACAGTAACTTATATTTTCAGGAAACATCTTGGCACTAGAAAAACCTTATAGTGAAAGGCTTGGTTTTTATTTTGTACAATAACAAATAACCTTTTCAACTGAATGTTTGAATACTAACAAACATGGTTAAGCCAAGCAGGACTATGGCTACACTGTTCTTGAAACACCAAAGCTTAACTGAGTGAAAATTTGGACAATTTCTGTCATACTAACTTAGCACCACACAGTCTAAACACACATACAAAAGAATAACTTGATATGTGTTTGTTTCTAATGGGAAAGCATTAATGACATCCATTTTGACAGTATCAATGGTGTAAACTAATGAAAAAACTTAAAGCACAACAGTTATGAACCTCAAGAAAACCAAAAATAAAGTTACAAACAATCAGGTATTTGGCAAACAAAATAATATCTACTCTTAATAACCACTGACCAACAATAAAATATAATAAAAATTACAAATGCCACATTAGCAATATAATTGGCTGGGTTAGAATTAAGTTAAAATCATTTATACATTTTACTAGAACAGAATAAAGTTATAACCCCACTACTTTTAATGTGACAAAAAGAATTACATCTTGACACAAAGTTTATTATGCCACCTTCATAATCACAAATTACTTCAAAGTAAATCAATATAGTTTCAAGTTGAAATCCTATCTAGCAATGAAAGAATGAACTGGTAAACAGTGTGCATAATAATACGTACAGAATTTTTAGATATTTAGTGAAAGAGGGAAAGGTTTTGAGTCAGATTTTATCTCTATATAAGCTTGGTCATTTTGACCAATCTTGCAATCACCACGTAACCATGAAACTATACATACTGCTAGATGTACTTGTGCAGGTTCCAAGAAAGTGTTCTGTTTCAAGAGTAAATAAAACCAAAATTAAGAATAACAAATATTTTTATTTCTTGCTTTTGAAGTTCATATATCATGCTGTGTTGTAGCCTACAGGTGCATAATTCTTCTCGTGATTCACAACATGCTTACATTTTACTGACATGACAACAGTACAAATTGTAACATTAACTTCTCCTATGGGACATTATTTTAGTGTCTACTGACTGATGGATAGACAACACTATTGTATAATGGTGAGAGTGGTTAAAACAGGTGAACTCTCCAGACAGATTTCGACCCCCCTTTCGGAGAAATAACTTTTAGTGTAGTATGTGTACTTTCACAAAATTTGGCAAGCTTTTAGTAAACTTTTTATTTAAGTATTTTTACTGAAGAATTGTCTGTGAATTTATGGAGTCAGAGTCTAACTCAGACTGTCCAGTCTCAGTTTAAGGTGATTTTCATGTGGAGATTAAAAATACTTTTTTTCATCTTACTGTTTTCAAATTTCATTTGCATAGCCTCCAGAATCTTCCTATATGAACATTAAAAGTTTTTCCAGTAAGACTTTATATTTTATCTGTTACTTTCTCTACTCTAACACTATACACGTGCAATCCATTTGTCCGACCTTGTAATCACCACAAAAAATAAGAAATAAATCTAAATTAACTTTTTTTCTTTTTCTAGAATAACTGCAGAATGTAATAAAATATTACAATTGTTTATCCTAAACAGCCTGAGGCTCATAACTGTTTTTATTTAATCTTATTTTTATTGCTCTTTGAAGGTGTCTAACTATCTATCTATTAAACTTGTGTAACGTGCTAGAAATCAACTGGCAAACACACATAATTAAAGTCATGATATTGAATTATGTAACACATGAGCTACTCGTGAAGAAATTTCTGAATTTTTTTTCTATTACGTTTTCTTATATAACCTAATAACTTTGTAATCTTTGCATTTTAATTATTCTATAAAAATTAATAAAAAAAATATGGAAAACAAGAAATTTATTACTCGCATGTTTTTTTTTTTGCAGTCAAAGACATGAAGTGTTGATAAAAGTTAACCCTAATGTTTGCATTGGTTGTTGTTAGTACTTTACTGATTTGTTATTTATTTCAAATATTTGATTTAAATACAAAATAATAACATGCACATAGCATACATTGCCCTAAAATTATCATAATTTAACTTGCTTTCTAACTAAGCTATAAGTGTCAAAATAATTTCCTTAGCTGGTCAAGTTGAATTCTGTGATGATAACTTTCAATCTGTGCAACAGATAATCAAAAGCTGTCACAGAAAATGAACTAGCATTATATGTAAGTCAGTAAATTATAATATTTTTCTTATATTGGTTATAAATAATATAATAGCAAATGTCAGAGAGAATTATTGACATTTTTTGAAAGACAGCATGTGAAAGAAGGGTGTGGTAGGTGGGTTTGACTTTTTGTTTGATATGTAAGTAAAATAAGATGACTGGAGACTATAAAGTTTGCAGTACCAATAATATTAGTTTGTAATTTGTATTACAACTCAGATAGGGGTAGAAAGACAGTCTAAAATGTCCAATTCATGATGTATAAATGTCATGTGATACAGAAAAGTGAAGACTGAGAACTTATTTAAATATTTCCTATTGAAATAAAAAATTAAAACATATAATATTAAAATTTGATTTATTAACCACACTTTGATGCCATGTTAATTGAAATAAAATTGAAAAGTTTTTTTTTGGTGTACAAAACTTGAAGATAGCTTTTATATGCGGGAAAATCTGTTAGCTGAGTTCTTGCACAGATCGTAAAATATAACGTTGATAAACGGAAACATATTGGTTTATGTTTAGTAAGTTGAGCATATAAAACTTCAAATTCTCTCTGGATATTGTTAGTAGGTGCACAAAACTCTAGACCATTTCCAAGTACAAATTCTTCTGCTTCAGTATCGGACAAAGAACTAGGTTCGCTAAAGGCCAGACTATGTGATTTGGCACATGCTTACTGTGGCACACCAATCATCCTTATCAACTTCTACATGCATAGAGAACATTTTCAGGCTATAAAATCACTACGCTCGATCAAAAGTATCCTTATCACAAGACCTGACAAAGGTTCTGGTACCGTCATTTTGAATAAAACTGACTATATTGAAAAAATCTGTGACATCTTAAATGATGAAACAAAATTCAAAAGGCTAGGAACTGTTTCGCAAAATGATAACACAGCAAAAATTGAAAACAAATTACAAAAACACTTATTAGAACTGGTTAAGAAAGGTTCCTTACCACGTGATATTTATGACCGAATTAGGCCCGCGGGCTCACAACGTGCCTGCATGTATGGCCTTCCTAAAACGCACAAAAAGGATGTACCACTCCGCTCGATTTTGTCTATGATTGGCTCTGCATAACATGAATTAGCGAATTGGCTTTTGGAAATTTTAGAACAGGTGTTAACATACTTTTCAGAAAACTGTATTCAAGACTCCTTTTCTTTTGCTACAACCATACAGAACTTTAGCCTTGATCCTAAACAAT